TTATTATAACTCCAGGTTTTGTGAAACAAGTGAATATCATCTTAATCGTATTCAATGGAGTGTCCACAGCTCCATGAGAAGCTCTTCTACAAATCATTTTCAAATCCACTCAGTGGTGGTTAGGAGCACGTGGAAAGTGGCATGGAATTTGGCGCCAAATTAGTTGGTTCTTTTCAATGTCGGAAAATGTGGGAAAGATGGTACTTTCACTTGGTAAGTTGACGTAATATATTCTAGTCTCGATGGTGAGCTATTTGACTGTTTTTTGGTTAATCTTTTTTCGGAAACATATGCGTGTGCTTATTCTTAGGCAAAAACCCACTTTAAATCAGCTTATCGTCGCTTGAAAAAAACTCTATAGAATTTTAAACGCGAATCTTAATATTTACCTGATAGTCACCAACGAGACTGTCGTTGGGTTGAGATGGGATACGGGGAGAAAGGGGATCTACCATCGATCGACTATCGCGGTAGGAACACGACCTGATAGAATAGGCGAAAGGGCACCTTGCTAATTATCCCGTTCGACGTACTGGCATAAGACTGTGCCCGTTTCGATCTATTCGTCGTAATGACCTATTTATATTTCACCTTATGCGTCAAATTTTTAGCTTGAAGCCTTTTGCGTACCGCAGGCCACTGGGAGGGGCAATTTACTCTTGCAAATTGCGTACATGATTTTTACGAAAGCAAAATAACTTCTAGGGATTTTCACATAAAACCATATGATTTTAACGGAAATTGTACCAGATTTTCAAAGACTGAATTCGCCCCTCAGGCTCGAGCGTAGAAGAACCGGTGAGATCTACCTAGGCAATAAAATTGCGTATCACGCGTGCGGTATATCAAAGGAATCAAATATAATTAAGGCCTGTCATGAGGATTAGCGCCTGTCAACATGCAAATTTTCTGACCATGAATTCCATGGCAAATACAGGGCCCTGATTGGCTGAAACGGTTCAAGCTGATTTTTTCGCCAGGATTGTGTTTAATCACGATCGATCTTGTTATTACTGATTTTTCCTTCTCCTCGGTGCGTGGATTTTCTCCTCAGAATATGGATCGCGTTTAGTCTAAATTGAGTAAATATATATATATAGTCACGTCGCCCCTTATGGAACAATTTCAGAAAAATTTTTTTGGTACTTCCTAATAAATCAACATACTACAAGTACATCCTTTATTGTATAATCTACATGCTTGTGTAAAGACAGTCTTATCGGTTTTTCTCTCTTTCTTTCTACACGAGCAACATTACAAGAAAGAGGCCACTTTCCTTCGTGAAAAACTTGGGCAATCACCCCTTATGGAACGACGATAAAAAACCCCGGTGAATGAAAATTGTGCAAGCTATTTTTTGGGTATTCGTTTTTGAGATATCAAGAAACACGTTGTGGAGTTTTTGTTTTAGCCAAAATACTGACTGAGGGAATGGCCAAGAAAGTTGAGGTGCAGGGAAAAAGTATATGACTCTATATCACAAGCATTGAAATTTAACCTGGTTCATTTTTTATGCATGAACACCATCACCCATCATTTATATATAGCCAGTGAAAATGGAATTCAAGCAAAAATAACAAACTGAAAACTATTTTTACAAAACCATACTATTCCCAAGTCTTTTTCTAGGTAATTAAATATTGAAGAAAAAATTCAACTTAACAAAACTAACGACATAACAACATATATATACCAAATTGACTCTGGAAAGATATTAATTAATTGATGGCAATCTAATTTCATGACAGTAGTAGCTACTTATGTTTATCCGGGTTTTCATGAGAGATATTTGACGCTCAAGAAATGCTTTGAATGCAACATTTCCTCTAAACATGCCCAAATGTTTTATGAAATATTGACAAAAGTGTCCTTGTCAAAGTGCCCATACTTCAAATCTTGCCAAAAATGCTAACACAGCTAAATTTGATTTATAATTGATAATAAAAAAGTACAGACGATGCATGTAATTTTTTACAAAGATATAATAACTATATACCAAATTAGGTATCCTTTTAACATGTCACTAATTTTATCTCAATACTTTTCACTAAGCTTTCACTAAGTTTCACTTGATTATAACATTACAACAAGTTCTTGCAACCAAAGATATTATTTG